TCACCGTAAGTTTTAATGGTGGACCTGTTTGCTGCGTAGAGGTAGTTACTTTTGTCAGGATGTCTACGTTGTTGTTGCGTTGGTGGAATTACGCTGACTTCGGCTCCCGTGTCGATGAGAAACTTCATTGCAGATAAGGTATCTCAAACTATTAAGCTGCGGTTTGCGTTGTTGAGCCTGTCGTCCACCGCCATTGACGACAGACTAATTAGTTTAACTTTCTTTTGCAGGGGCTGCGATATTTTTTTTTAGCTTCGTTACAAAATTTTAGGTGGTACCAGCTTTAGTTATTTTAAATACAGCCAGAGTTATTTTAAATACAATCATGTTTTACTTTAACAGTCCCCATAATACCTCCTGCTCAAATATAAACGAGACTTTATCCATAACTCGACAAGGACATGACATATGGCCATATTTTTTTTTGCTTAGGTTGGCAGGACTGTTATATGATTACATGTCAAATTTGAGCGCGATCTCTCCCATAGTTTTTTTTTTACGGCACTATAAACAAGTCAACCTCGAGTGTGTTTTTCGAATTTTACTATGGAAATTAACGTTGAGCAAAAATTGTTTGTTTGAAATTTTGTTATTCCAATGGAATAAGTGCGACGGACGCAATGAAAATGTTGCAGAAGGCATATGGGGAGTCTTGCCTATCACGTGCACGTATTTTTGATTGGTATAAGTCGTTCAAGGACGGCCATACATCGCTGGAAAACTTGCCCCATGATCGTCGTCCTGCAACGTCAATAAACGAAGAAAACGTCGAAAAAGTAAAGAAAATTGTGTTGGAAAATCGTCGTGTGACTGAAAGAGAGATAGCTAGTGAGCTCAACATATCAAATGGATCCGCTCATAGCATTATTCACGATGTTTTGGGCATGAGACGTGTGTCTGCTCGACTTGTTCCAAAATCCAGCTCATACGTCTCGTCTTGTACGCGATTATTTGACCAAAAACAACGTAAATATTGTTCCGCAAGCACCGTATTCACCCGACATGGCACCGTGTGACTTTTTTCTTTTCCCTAAACTCAAATTGCCGCTTCGTGGAAAGCATTTTCAGTCGATTGAAGTCATAAAAGAGAATTCGAAGAAGGAACTGAAAGCCATACCTAAAGCGGCCTACCAGAAGTGTTAGGAAGATTGGGAAAAAAGGTGGCATATGTGTATCGCCTCTAATGGTGACTATTTTGAAGGGGATAAAATAAATATTGAAGAATAATTAACCGTTTTTGTTTTATTGAGCCAGTCTCGTTTATATTTGAGCAGGAGGTATATCTATTAAATTGTATTATAAGCCTTACACTGCTAGTGACGCATTTAAATGTCGTATACCCTCTGTACGTACATAAATATGTACGTATTATGCAATCAGTGGTCTGTGCTTCTAGCGATTGGTTGATAATTCTTAAGACACTCGTGTTACCTTTCTCTCTTATGTTGCTATTCACGCAGAGTGCCGCAAACGGGCACATGCTGCTATAAGTAAATAGCTCAAATTATGCGACCATATCGCCCTGAAAGGGCTTTTGCTGCTGTGACTGATAAATTGCAGTTGGGAAGGTGAAAAATTGCAGCTTTTCCTCGATCACCTTCGTCTCTACAAGCTAGCTCAGTTTATGACAGAAAATATACAATTTTCACACCAAGAATATTCTCATTTGCACCTTTAAGCAAGTCTGAATTTCATACATATACATATATATGGTATATATGTACCGTACCTTGTTAATGTTTTTATTATTATTTTACATTCTCTGAAATATATGCACATATGTAGTCCAACTTGTTAAACGTGACACAAGCATCAGCAGCCCACAAGCAGATACAACGCGTGGAGTATTTGTGTTGTGTGCAACGACATCTGTAGGCATTTTTGCAAACATAGTTACATATATTAAAGCGTGTTTGCTGTTTGCAGTGCATATGTGTGTGCTTTTCGATTTGTAAATGTCAGAGAAAAAAATTGAAATCTAAATCGTAATTAGTAAATATTAACAACTCTTAAGACCAAGTGTTAAGTGCTAATGGAAAAAGTAACTGAGCACACTCAGGCATTTCGACAAATGTAAACAAAGTAATGAAAATAATGATCTGACATTGGTTGAGGGAGATATTTAAATAGTTTGAAGTTTGGGTTCATCTCATTTAAACAAGTTTCCAGCCAGTAGCATACGGGACCACCTTCTATGAATTTTAATTATTTGGAAAGATTTTTCAACCCCTGTTTCGTCTATTCTCGCCTTTTTTTTTTTGTATACGTCTTTTCGTGCCCTTTTTTTGTATTCAAATATATGGTATTTATGTTACTTTCTCGATTTTTATTACTTTGACGGCGACCTATTTTGTTGTCAATTAATGTAATCATAATTTTCTTGTTGACATGCCCGCGTAATTTTTTTCAGTACATATCAACCCATTTGGACTAATTAGGTGCGGCGGTGTCACAAAGCAAAATTTTCCGCATTGCTTTTAAGATGTACTATTTGCAAGAAATGCTTTTGTAGAGCATCTTACACTGAAATTGATGTGCAATCGAAAACAGCAAATACATACAGTAAGACCCGATTAACGCTGTTTCGTTTAACGCTGTCTCAGTTTAGCGCCCTTTCATTGTTCAACCCAAGTATTCACCGAAATTGTGCTACCGAATACAAACATAATTACATTAATCCAATTAATGGACCAAGACGATTTATCCAATAATCCAAGTTTTTATAAGTATATTGGTTTATATTGTTTTTATTTTTGTAAGAAATAATTGTTTGGTTTTATATTTTTTTTAAACAATTATTAAATTTAATCTTAACAAATTTTCTATCCATCTTCCCCTACCCCATTATTTACAAGTTAAGATAGACTCGTTTAGCGCTATTTCGCATTGCGCTCTACTTTGATGAAACGTACCCTACGCGTTAAACGAGGTCTTACTGTACTTGCATCCACGCTTCCATGTATGTATACTTTAACGTTTGAAATCTACATAAACCAAAATCCCTACATGTTCGCTATCAAAAGTATGTGCATACATATTTTCGATCTTTTTGCTGGGCGAGCCATCCTATCTATGATATATGTATGTAGGTGGACCGCCGCTTTCGCTTGAGAGTCTCACATTGCTGTGTCCGTCTAATGATATAATTTTTAAATTATTGTGCTCTAAAGCCCAATTAGCCTTCATGCGCTCATCCACGGTCTTATATCTCAGTAATCAGTATGATTCGAGCCTCCAACAGGGACTATCACACATTACCGAAAAGTGCAGTGCAAGTGCAAAAATACTAAAAATATTACGATTTAATCGCAAGAAATAATTATACATTTTTACAGTAAGGCATTTTATGTGGTACATACTTGAACATTTTTATGCGCGCGGACGGTGAATATACTTACATACATTGGGCAAGTTGAAGGCAATATGTGTTGGCAATATTCTTACACGTTTGGGCTTCGATCAAATGGTGTAATGAACTTAAAATCATACGTCGGTAATTTACTAATTCTGTGAGTATGCCTATCGGCTAATCGAATTCAATATTAACTAATCGTTCATTCAGATATGCAAGATGTGCATATACAGAGACCACCTCCTTTGAAAGCCCCAAAAATAAGTAATCTATCTTAAACTCGCCTCAATTTTACATACGAAAAGTAGTTTAAAGTAGTGATTACGTACATATGTATACACAATTAATCCTAATACTCCAAACGTATGTAAATACAGATTTTATCATGATACCCAAATGCTTTGGAATACTTTCTGCTTTTAAAGAAAGGATTAGCGATAAATTGAAATTTGAGTGATTTTTGTTATATTTTTTGAACGAACCTTGTGGAACTTGGAGCTTTATAAGTTTTATGCCGATTGCTACTTTTATTACGCTTTAAACATTTGGAATGCGTTCGCACATACATTCATGTATCTGAATTCATTCAATTATTATTATTCTTTTTAATTATTTGGCGCACAACACAAGCTTTCTGCTTCATTCAAATGAAAATTTTTCATTTTGACTTTTAAACAAATAAATGAAATCAAAACAAATAAAGGCACCGAGTTGAGAGCAGCGCACATGCTGGCAGACAGGAAACGAAATAGAAGGAAAGGAAAGCAAAACAAAAATAAAAGAGCGTATTCAGCAATTATTGCGCTCATTTACAGGAACCTTCCCACCAACAAAACTATAATAAAAAACAGCAAAAACATATAAACGCAGTTGTTGCATTGCAATTTAGAATAAATAAAAGTATTTTGTCCATTTCTTTTGCCCAAAGCTGTGTCGCCGCCAGATTTATTCGTTTGCCGCCGAAATATCTCACATGCAAAAAGCTTTTCAGCATAATAAGTTTTGATGATTTTATGCCATATTGTGCATCGTTTGTTGTTTTTTCACAACTGCAGTCAAGTTTTATTAATAACAATGCTTTTTATTCAAATCTTCTCCAGCTTTGATCGTTCATCACGCCGTCGCAAGGAACGCTCGAAACGTTCACACCGTAAGTCGCCCACATCGGGCAGACGTGTTCATAAATATCGTTACAGGGATGAAACATCCAATTCAAGTTCACGGAGACGACATCGGGACCGTGCCAAGGTGGTTGACGACCGAGAAACCGGACGTAATAATCGCCGTTCACCGTCTAAGGTAAAAACTTTTCATTTTATATGCAGGAAAATATCAAACAAAAAACAAAAACTGATTATCGAAAGAAATGTAAAACTTATTACTAATTTAATTAATTAAACACAGTTTCCACTATAAGAAACATAAATTTTCCAAGTGAAATACACTTTAGCTACAAAGTTAATTTACACATTCTTCAAATGTGTTAGTAGCAACTTAAAAACCAAAAGAAGTATTTATAGAGTTTTTCACAACGAAAAGTAGTAAATTTTCCAATGTCCCCTTTTTTATCTCCATTATAATCATTAAGTTATTTTATATATTTATATATTGTATATATGTATATGTCTTCTGTGCTAATTGTGTTGGAATCTATATGTTTATCTCATGGTTATGTATTGACTAATATTAGCTTATATTATATTTATCCACATAATTTATAATTAATTTATGAAATCAGCGAAATTTTACGCTTCTATTATATGCCTTTAATATCAGTCATGGTACAAGATCATCTCAACATTTTCCGTCTATTTTCGCTTTAATGCGTAACTGGGACATACCTAGTAGGACGCCAGGTCGGCGCGGTCATTCTTTTCATTTGCTTCCTTTCTTTAGTTTTATTTTTGATCGCCTTAAAGACCGATTCTCTCACGCCTTGCACCTGAAATACGATTGCTCATGCACATATACATACAGATGTATATATACATATACATATGTACGTAGCATACGGAAACAAATGAGTAATTGGTTGGAGGTATAAGATGAATTGCAATCAATGAAAATAAATACCAATTGAACAAATTACTTGCCAAATCTATTTTATGTCATACGTTAACGCGTTTTACCTATTCTGAATTTTTCCCCCACACTACTCTTTTCAATGGCATCCACGCTAGTTAGTCAGTGTAGTTTTGGCATTTAGAGTTTGTCCGCGTCCGCTATTGTGTGTTACCCCGTCTCTAAATCTAAAAGTTTCTAATAGAAAATGAGTATACTGCTGTTCAAGCGCCATCTGGAGAAGTCTCAGCTGGTTGCACAAAATTTCATCAAAGCCAATAATAGTGTACCCTGTTATGTGAGTATGCGTGAGATGCCAGCTCCCAGAAAGATTGAACGCGTGCACGACCTGGTGGCGCAGTGTGCAATGCTTTTCACCATATACACCTGCGACTGGATTGCGGATGAGTATTTCGCGGATCACGACAGCGATTATCTTGTAAGCTCTCTGTGTTTATTATTCTGTGCTTTCGCATAGATGTGTCGAATAATGGTTAGACACAGAAAATGTGTAACACTCAAATATCTTGCCTGCCACAACCGCATTAACAAATTAAAGAAACATCGATTGTGCTCCCATCGTACCGGGTCATTCGTGCTTTGTTAATCCCCATTTGAAGTGTTACGGTGATAGATTTATTGTTGTTGGTATGAGTGGATGAATTCCGAAAGCTTTTAATTATTCTCTTTGAAATTAGTTTTTCGTCCATTAGAGTTTTGTAAGTTTGTGCATCTACATACTCGTCCATACTTACATAAACACACATTCGATATATTTCTGATTGAAAGCTACATGTCAATTCAACTAGTTTGGCTATTCACAGTGACCATTGCGTTGCGTCATTTTCATGAAACAAAATGCACTCTTCTGGGTGAGTATTTGTTGAATATGTTGCGGGTGTCTATAGGTATATGCGCTTGCATTTATTGCTTAGTTTGCCATTTGTCAACGGCGGCTGATACAGTTCCTAAACTAGTCGTGTTATTGACGTCTTCGATAGAGTGTCACCGCTTAGGTGTTCTCCCTATTTCGTTGTAAATCTGTTATCACCGGTCTCTCAAGATTGATTATTTTCGGCGACTAGAAAAAAGAGCTGTTAAACGACAGCGAAATGGTCTCAAGTCAACGCGGTCTTCGTCGGAAAAGACCGCCATTTACGGCACGATCTCGTTACGCAAAAGTATCAATCGTTGCCGCAATAATTTCGATTTGGTTGTAGAGTGTGATGTTTTGTTTGATAAGTTTTTGGGCGATTGGATAACGGATGAGTATTTTCTTGATCATGATAATGACTATCTTGTAAGTGTGTTCAAATTAAATCGCTCGGTTAAAAACCAACGGTATATATTATATAACAATTTTAGTGATATGTAAACTAATGCATGCTTCTGCATGCTTTACCCAGGGAGGACTAATACAAGCCTTACACGCCCATTGTTGCAATATAACAATTATCGTACAATATCTGTTTGTACAGAGTTATTTTCAGTATATGAAGGAAAGAGAAGATTAGAACGACTCCTGTACGGTCTAACGTGTCGTCCAGTATATATGTAAATATCTGTCATGAAATAAGTAAGCATTTTGAGTTAAACAAAAGAAAGAAAGTTGGAAGATCGCTGTGTCATTCTTGAGCATAAAAATGATAGATGCAAACACTTTTTTTAATTCGTGAAATATACTTAATTTATTGGTTTATAGCGAAAAAGTTTTAGCAAAATGAATAGAATAATGTCACAGCAAACTAATAATTCAAATGTTTACGTTTTTGTTTACAATTTACATGCTATTTGAGAGTTTTTCTTGGTTTCTTCTTCTCATTCCAAAAGAATTACGTCATAAGATGGCGGTAGAATTCAATTTGTTTTTATTACAATTGTCACAGTCAGAACCACCGAAAAAAAGTAACGGTAAATACTTGTCGTAAACTTGTATTCTATCATTCTTGCTTGAACTTATTTTACTCGCTTCTTTAAGAGAAACTCCCTTAAGAGAGCGTCAAATCTTAATTCAGGGAGGATTGTAACTTTATTTGAATGTATTTGTTTATACCGACGTATTCGCCTGTTTTCAAAACAATGCGCGCGCATCACAATTTTTCTTCAGCACCAACACTGTTACATGAAATATTTTCGAAAGCAACGATGTGACTTTTCCAAAGTTCTTACAGGCATACGTATGTATGTATATAGAACTAAAATTATATATAATACTTGCACTCAAAGATATTTGTAGCTGAGATATATAATGATCAGCTATTTCGAATTTTTGGCAAATAGTGTCTTTCGAAAGGCTGCTGTTTGTGCTACTTATACTGGTTTTAAGTTCGAAAAACTAATTCAGAAGAAAATCAAAACCCCCATTAGACGGTTGTGTGCGCGCAATAACTAACTGAAACTTTTCAAAATTTGAATTTATTTTTTTCTTGGTACATTACGGCTTTATGTAAAATTGTATTGACGGTTCGGCGACTGCGAGAGTGCAAGTATAATAGAAAATATATGCAATTCATGAATATACCCATACAAGCCCTGCGTGATATATGGTTCAGTGTTCGTTTACTTAAGTTAGACAAAAACATGTTAATATAACTTCAGTGTTGTAAAGACGTTTTTTCTAGTTCTTCGCCCGTTGAAAAATTCAACATTGAAATTGATATGAAAAAATATATTGTTTGTCGCGGTTATCCCAAAAATGGTGACATAACTTTGAAAATGGTTCCGAAAGAATTATACTTGAAGAGAAAAGTGAATTATACATTTTTAAGATAAAAAATACAACGACAAAAAACGGGGCTAGTAAGAAACAAAAATACAAAAAATAAGAAAGCATAACTTGACAAAACAGCGGGTTATATTTGTGAGTGAAACGAAGGAGCCAAACATGAATAGAAAATACTGAAGCTTCTATGTGTTTTCAAATTAAATTAAATGGATTTGTCTGCCAATGACTTCCGATAGTTCCATTAAATTTCGTGTTCTCTCTCCTTTAATTTTTTCGTTTCTACTCGATACTTCATCATAATTTTGTGTTAAAGAGAGCTTTCCTAAATAATAACAAATATAGCAAACAACATTTTAACAAGTCGAACTAATTTAAAAAGACAAAAGCGCAATAATTTCGCCCCATTCCTTCGGTCTCTCACTTCGAACATGACTTGTATGTAGACAATGTGTATATATGTATGTGTATACTATGTATGTATATGCCATTTTTATTTACTCCGCATTTATTTCGCACTTCTGTGCACACCCACCACCGTCCCATTGCTTCTTGACGACATATTAACTTTTCTGAAAAACGTTGTTTGTACTTTGGTCCCTTTCGAGCACACCATTCCGCCTTTTGCGCGTATTTACCTATTTCAACACATAGGTGATGTGTGCGACATTACCCCCCCGCCACCACTCAGCACTGATTCACGCACTGCACCAGTTTAAACACGTGTGATGTTTCTGTTGTGCCACACAGATCAGCACAGAGTAGCGTTGATCAACTGTCTCTGTGGCAACTCTGTGCAAACGTCATCTTCAGCTTTTGTATCGACCGCAACTCAATTGAGTGTTTATTGCCTTGTTTGCCATTGGTTACATTTGCTGTTGTTGTGATTATTTTTAGATATTTCTATTTTAAGTAAATACGCCAGAAAATTAAAAAAAAAGGAAATACCTACACCATTTTCCAATACAATTTCGTATATTCACATATATACTTGTATGCATACCCTGTAGTCAAGCAACTAGTTAAAAACTACTTTACAATTAGTACATTGCCACTTTTCCGGTCCGAAACATTACAGTCTCATATCAGTTCATAATTGGTGTAAGTCAAATAAATTTTTACTGTAGTTGGATATTCGAAAGGAGTTTCTACTTGTAAACTGGTAAATTTTCTGTAAAATTTGCCGCTTTACTGCAGGGTATATATGTACTCGTATGTACCTATATACATGTACACTCAAGTAACCATAAGCCTCAATAGAAGTTTATGGTTTGTATTTTGCTTCCCGCTCTGTGTCGTTGGACGAGGTGAATGGACAATGACAGGAAGCAGCTTCCCGTGCAGAAAATTTTAAAGTTTGAAAGAAAAATATCCGTTATGGAAATTGTGAAATGAAATTGATGTTTAACATGTACCGATGTCCGTTATTTCTGCCTATATAGATCAAAACAGAACAGTTACATTTCCGAAATGTGCCGAATACATTCGATAGTAATAGTTAACCGATCATAAAACGAAAATACAAGTGAAGTGAAGCAACCGCATAAGAGTGAAAATTGACAAACATAATATTTGATGTAAAAACAAAAAAAAAAAAACACACTGTTCAAAGAACACAACGCTACCGTACATGCTTGTATACATTCTTACCCCGAAGTTGAGTTAACTTGTTAATTTTTAACATATATTCCTAAAATTGCCCTTCATGTTTTAAAATACAAATTGCCTTAATGAAGATTTACCAAAAATTTTGGAGAAATGTGTTGAGAAGTTCCCACTTTAGTTGTAAATGAGTTAACATAAGAGCGAAAGAAAGAGCCAATAAAGGTGATTTGTTCTGAGGGTCCACCCTAAGTGTGGTTCATTATTACTGTTAAAGAAGTATTTTTTAGGGTATTATTTTGCTAAATTTTCTTTCAAATAATGGTGGATTGATCTGTTCGCAAGAGCAAGGTTGCCAAGCGATTCTTTGTTCAATAATTCTAGTCTCATTCAATAAAACTTGCTCCCAATGACGTCATTATGTACCTACTCATGTATGCACATTGATTGATGAGAAAATAAACCTTCATTTACAGTATTTATCGTTTGATTTGACCCCGAGAGAGCGAGTAAAGGCACGCCAAGAAATTTACGTGATTGTAAAACTGGTCTGAGGGACTTGCTACATACAAGTATGCAATGCCTGCCAAGAGATTATTGCATTTACCTCGGTCCTGTTTAGAGGTGCGTGAAAACCAAAATACACAAGTAACCGTTCGATTTATGTACTTAACATCCCTCGGATCGGTTGATCATTTTCACATTGCACTTGAAACGCATTTCGCAGTAATTGAAAAGCACTTTTCGCTCGGTCAGAACATTTGTAATATTCGTCGTTAAGTTCAGGCACGTTAAGAATTCGAGCGGAGGCGCACCCAGTCTTCGCTATTTCGTGTTGAGTAATCATTAATTTTTGTGTTTTTTTTTAAGCAATTAAAGTGTAATATTATAAAAAAAATTTTAATTTTCTATTGAATTTGTATTGTGTGTTAAAATAAGAGTAAATCAAGGCGATTTTCGAAAATATTAACCACAAGAAGTATAACATTGAACGACGTACTTAAAAACCACACTGCACGACCTCAATTGCAAAATAATTTAAGTGCCAACAAAACAATAAAATCAAATTGCTTCAATACAGACAAATACCAATTGCAACGTTGCAATAATGTCCAACGAATTTAGCGAATTGATCGCCCTTAATTGCCCCGATCTACATTCGAACAATGCCAGTATTGGTGGGGGTGGTGGCGGTGGCCAAGTTCATATTATTGACTCCGAACGCCGTTTGAGCGTAAAACAGATGACGGCGACGGAATTCGCTGCCATACGCGCTGCAGCCTCAGATGAAATCCAAGCTGCTCTTGTCAATGTATCTGCCATGCAGTCGGTATCGGCGCCTGCTACGCCAGCTGCTGTGAACAAACCAGATTTATTAGTCAACACTGGCAAATGTTCAAGTGACAATGCAACACCTCCCGAGGTGGTGAGCACGAATAAATCAGTAGAAGATATACTAAAGCTACGATCTCCACCGAGTGATGGAATCATAATGGTACCATCTCATCTTCCCAGCCCCTATGATCACAGCATGTTGCCTCCAAGAGGGGGAGATCGGTTAGTACTCTTGGCCGCACCTCTGGAACGTGTAACCTCCTTGCCGAATATGTTCGACAAAGGCATAGAAGAGCATGCGGCTGACGCATTGCGTGATTCTAAAATGAGAGTGAATTCACCGAAACCACAATTGGAGCTTAATTTAGATGATAATCTATCGAAAGGTCGCGGTGCGGTTTATGACGAGAACGAGTCAAGCAAACGTTCCACTTCCAAATCGTCCACAGATGAGGATGAAACCCCACAAAATCATCATAAGATTTCTGATTCGATTGAATTACTGCGTATGCAGCGACGCCAGCGTGGTTTAGACACTGCAGCACGTGAAATAAAACCAGAGCGTTCAATGTCTCCAGTCATATCTGGCGGACCTTCTTTGCTCTCTATTACATCGCCGCGTTCACACCACGAACGCAGTCCGGCGCCAGACCGTCTGCACAGTTCGAGTTTGAGCAGCATTGGCTCGGCACTTTCGGCTTCGGGCAGTGTGTCTGTATCAGTAAATACAAGTAGGCGAGGCAGTGCCGTTAGCACAGTTGAAGAAATGGCAACCACTTTACCAGCGGCGTTACCACCGATCTCTAATTTTCCTTTATCAAAAACTACCTCGACACCGAATATGGAGCGTCGCCGAAGTAGTTTGTCCGCAATCTTTCCAGGACCTTCGCCACTGGTGGCACCTGAGCCTGTCTTGCACACTAATCCTTTATTGCCGAAGAACAATGTGGCTGCTGAGGAAGAAGAGAAACACCATATAGAAGAAGATACTTTCAAGCGAGATATACCTGTCGGAAAAATGATACATCGCACTAAAACGCCACCACCAGTCGGTGTCAAATTAGGTGTAAATTTGAAAAAGGTTTCGCCGCCAAGGACTCAAATAGGAATCAAAAAAAATGAGGCACCAATGTTGGGAGTAGTGTTGCGACGTGTTGAAAAGAAACCTGTACAACAAAAAAGCATTCTTGATGACGACAAGCCACTCTATCACTTCTCCATTGTACGTAGTGAAAAAAAGGATCAAAAACCGATAACAGCTGCTCCTAAGCCAAAGCCGAAGCCTGAAATTGGTATACAAAAGTCTGCGACCACTGCTGCAGTGCCGCCAAAACCGAATCCTGGTGGCATTCTAACAGGTCCACAGGGTAAGACGGGAGTTGGCGCACGCCCTGCACATCCGGTACAGCGTCCACCCCAGACTCAACGCCCACAACTTGGTGTACCGATTACTATTCAGAAGATCGAAGGCGATAAAATTATTATTATTAAGAAATTTGTTATCCCAAAGAATGGTAAAATTCCGGAGCAGTATCTCAAGGTTGGTTGGTCGTTTGTGTTGCATTTGATTTTGGTTTATGTGTTGGCATTTTGAGTTTTGTCGTTCATGCAGTATATCTGTACATGTTCGTGATCGTTTCAAGGTCAATGTTAAGCTGTTTTCTGTGATGTCACAGTGTTGAATGTTGCAAGGCATACAGCGTGTCTTCAGAACATCCAATTTACAACACAACATTTTAATTAATTTATTGGCAAACCGTGGGTAGTCGGGGGGAGAATTTATACATAGCATTGTTGAACAGTGAAAAATTGTTAGATGCTAGTAAATTAGAAGCTAAATAGCTGTAACCATAACATATCCCTATATTTACAGAATATATCTTAAATATTAGAAATTTTTGAGGTTTTTTTTAATCAATTTACTTTGACTTTTTCCAAACAAATGAGTGAAAATGTTAAGCACTCATCTGAGGAAACCAATTCTGAATCAAAAACAATAACATCAAGCAAAATAGAACTTTCAAACGGCAGTGATGAAACAGTACCGCCATTATCCATTCCTAGAACAGCAACGGTGAAATCTGTGATTACTACGTCTCTGCCTGAAACTGAAGGAACCAAAGCTAATGATGATAAACAGCGAGGCGTGACCAAAGCAATAGAATCTAATACCTCTTTTAAAAAGTATACTTCCAATCCAATGGTGCCCACTACGGTCGCCACGTTTGGCGAAGCGCCGTCAAACATATCGAATAACCTATCGGGGTCACAACAGGCTTATCATTTTGTATCCCCCCAAATTGCGGCGGTCTTATCTTCAAGTAAGACCGAAACTAGGACTGGTTTGTGTTCGCCAGTTTCTTCTCCTCTAAGTGGTCGAAAGAGCCGGCCGTTAGTGATTTCGAGTCCTAAATCAACCCCGCCAGTAGCACGTAAAAATCACCATTTGTCATATAATACAGTTACTGGTACTATATCATCACCAATCCCTATACCTGCGGTACCACCGCATATGATGTCGGCTATGGGGTCCAGTCCGGCATCATCATTATCACTATCTTCGTCGACATCATCACCATCGTCATCGCCGCCTCCGCCTGTGCCTGTGCGAGCACCCAAATACAGTTCCAGTGCGAACGGGCAAAGATCTTTACAACCGAGTCAAAAAGATGGTACTAACTCATATAAAACAGGTTCAACTCATGGGCGCGGTTACAAGCCGCTAAGGGGTTCGCCTCGTAGTCAAATGGACTTGACACATCCAAAAAACGAGGATAGCAAAGTTGGTAATGCCATCTTGCGTTTACCAGAACTAACCTCCATCTCGGCCAAGCATGGAATGGAGATTGACTTAGATAAATTGGTTGCGCAGCAGAAGGAGCTGGAGAAGCAAACAGCGGCTGTTAAATTGGATGCAAATATTTATGATGCGGAAATCGAAATGATGAATCAATATTTGAAAAGCCTACCTGACTACACTGAATTGGACAAAAAGTTGCATAAGGAGTTTCAGGAGTGTGAGGACTTGTATGACCGTTTGAAGCGTCGTCAGGCGCCATTTTCAAATTTGAATTCCCGCAAAAGTGTTATATTACCCGCGGCAATTAATTCACAGACGACAAGCCGTCCAAATGTATCTGTTCATAGCTTGGCGAAATCATCATCCACAAATCTCGGCAATCCTCATACTTCAGTGGAGCATCCACAATCAACCATCGGCGCGAACCGCTCTCGCTTGGCATACCCTTCCATATTTTCCTCAGTCGGACAGCAACATCATGCTCCGAAATTGCAACGTAGCATTTCGAGTAACAATATGCCATATTCGAACTCGCCGCAATATGGCTGCGTTCAGGGAATTATAACACCGCAGTGCACCCAATTGTCAACGGATCAGAAAAACTCAACGACCAACGGATCCAATCTTTCACTCAACAAGCAATTAATGAACGATTTTTGGACAGAAAATCTAATGTCCTCACAGAAACGTCAAACACCGAAACGGTCAATATGGAACTACGAGAAAATTTGCGCACCTACTGTAAACACAGTAGGCGCTGCAGGAGCACCACTTAAAGTCGATGCCCAGACAGCTAAGAAACTGGCCATATTCGATCCGACAGTGGCCGAAGCGGCCCAAAAGGAACTCCATAAGCCAAATAAACTACAGAAGAATGCATCTCTATCACATTTGGATATGAAAGTGCGTCAAGCCATTACTAAAGAAGAACTGTATAAACTTATCTGTAATGAAAATTCACTCACTGTCCCACTGACGCCTACAAATTTCGTCAGCAAGCTACCTGTAAAAATAAATGCTCAACCATCATCATCACAGGGGCATCATCATCAGGAGCAGCCTGAGCAACAACAATATTCAGAGTTGGTGCCCTTGAATAAAAGCGTTTCACTGTCCCATGTTCCCTCCGGGCCGATCTCAATACAAACCAATTTCGACAATGCCATGTCACACACACAAGTTGCTAAAACTGCAGCGAAGAATCTGGTACGCTCAACAAGTCGCACACACATACCGTCCTATATGAAACACTTGCCCGCATTGAGTCGCAGCAATTCCAACACAGCTATCTTAATGCCAACGTCCACAGCAGCGCAAATGAAGCAGCCATCCACGTTGATGAGCAACACGACAACTTCGTCGGCTACACCGAGAACAGGAACAGTGAATCCCATGGGTGGTTTACTCAAGAGTGCGTCGAGCTCAAGTGTTTTCGGCATTGATGCGACAGCTAAATATAGTCCGTTCTATATGCAGCGATCTATCGTTGATGACTCAGCCCAAACTACGATAGCAGCTACGGGGGCTACGCTGCCACAGTTAACAGCCACCGCTGTGTCGCGTGCGCCTGCATTGACAACTTCTTTGGTGGCTCCAAGTGAGAAACCGAAATCGGCCCTTAGTGACGAGCTAATGATACGTCAAAAGCAATCGCAAGCATTGACGCAACTGCAAAAGCAGCAGCAGGAGAGAAAAGAGCAGCCGCAAATTGAAGTTAAACAACAACGGGAACCCACGCGACCACAAAAGCAAATTGTCACGCCTTTTTCTAGTGATGCGGCTAAATCATCTGGATCGGTTATGGTATGCGTCATGAAGACAGCTGATAGTGGTGTCATTGTCGCACCATCCTCATCTGATCGCAAATCGGAAAAGAGCAACAGCACGATCAGTACGAGTAGTATAACAACAACAAATTGCTGCAGTACACATTTGCCGCAACTATCGAAATTTACATCGTCGTTTCACATACCATCCGCGGAGGCGAAGGGCAGCCGTGTGACGCCTACAACAAAGCAAACCCCTCGCAATGGTGGCTCCACAACTGGCAGCAGTGCAACAGTGTCAAGCGATGAGCAAGCCTACAAAATCACCAAGATGCAAAGCGGTGCCAACTTAGAATTGACCAAACGTCAAAAGGATACAGACAATAAGGTTGAGAAGTGCTTGAACGAATTGTTGAAAATTGGCAACAATAGCAATAGCAAAAATGCATCGAGCAGTTTAGCAGCGGAACTAGTGCAAACATCCACGCAACCAAGCAAAATTGCTGTTCCAGCCGTCATAGGTAATCAATTTACTGAAGACCAAGGTAAAATCAAGAGGATGCAACAGCAACTACCACAGTTATCGAAGAAGAGTTTTCCCCTTGGCAAGTCGAGCTCCACCTCGCAAATACCGCTAGGTGGCTGTAGCTACCAGCACACAATTTTGCAGTCACAAGTGCAGTCGCAACAACAGAATGACCAACAACTTATTCAGCAACATGACATTCTACGTCTGAGGAAACCACAGACATTTCAAGAGGAGCAAGAGGAGCAACAAATAGTGGCGCCCATACAACAACACGCCTATCCGCAACAGAAGCGCCCTTTTTTGAATTGGAACTCCTTTGCGTGCTCGGCCATGAGCGGAACCACAGACCCGTTCTGGCAACACCAGCAAACGCATAAGTTGCAGCACACCGCTTCGGCTTCGAATGTAGGCAAGAAATTGCAACAAGCTACCTCTCAACAACATCTGCAGCAGCAGAAGCAGATGCCTCTGCCAAAAGCTGCGCCTGGCTTAGCGCCTTCTTTGCAAAAAAACAATACCAGCAAGGAGAATAAATATACCAATTTGCAGCAACAACAACAAACACAGTTTATGACTGGCTTCTCACCTGCACAACCGCCGCAGCAGCAGCTGCCACAGCAGAAACAGCAAACAAAGTACAATTTCATGCACACGCAACTTGATGGGAATGCCTTGACGCATTCAGCCTCTTTTAGCGCTGCGCAGAGACCGAGCGGATTCCAGTTATTAGGTGGTAAGCAGCAGCCGCCGCCCGGGCAATACTTCAATGGGCCAAAGATGCAGCAACAGCAACAATCGCAGCCGCCACAAGCGGAGTGCCAAATATTCCAGAACTTCGATTCTTATTTATATCCGAAGCACAGCAACTACTCTCACGGAAATATACAGCACAGGCTCTTTCGTCATCAGCAACAGCAACAGCAGCTACAGACTGGTTGCAGCGGTGGTTTTTCAACGCAGCACAATACTCAAGTACAACAACAACTGCAACGACAGCCAACAGGCGGTGCTTCGTATCACGGTGTTGGCTCAGCCAACGCCACTGCTGCTCCACTTCAAGTCAATCCCCTCACCCAATCAGCCTCCACTTCGGCCATGTGCTACGACACTCACCGTCCTCTTGCTCCGATTCTTGCATCCGGTGCTGGGCATCAGCATCAGCATCAACTGATGTTGCAGCAGCAACAAAGTAATTCAGTTATTTTAAATCAATCACACAATCAAATGTCCAAATCCGCACTAGCACTACACTATATCGAGGTAGTTTCTCTGAATTTTTAATTTTTGTTTTTGTTTCGTTTTTTGTTCTTCTGTTGCAGTTTGTCGTGATCTTTGTTGCCAACGTTAATTGTGTGTCATACTAATTTATTTACATATCTATGTGTAAGCTGCTTTGCCATCAACTACTAATCCGTCGCATTCCGTTGCATTGCATCCATTTTCTGGCATTTATTACATATGGACATACACACATATATCCTCGCAGGATAACAGCTCGTGCGGATAATCGCTTGCTTATGTCATTTCATTTTGTTCCAAATTAGAATATGTTAGGTTATAAATGATGTACGCATGAAAGTTTGTATGCACAATAATGTAAATAATTACCCAGCGTCTACGATGTAGCTGGAAATGGATAAAAAAGAACATGTATCACTTTAACGCCTTTGCTGCCGTTAATTTTAAGCTGCTCTAAAAGCGATCGCAATGTGCACAAATGTTTTGTAATTGTAAACCATTTCGCAGTCGTTATGATTTCTAATTATCCTCGAAAATAAGTACAAATGTAAACTGAGAAATTCTATGTCGACCCTTTGTTTATTACTTTTAATTTTTCACTAAATTCTTAGAGTTTTCTAAGCGAGCTTACTGCGAGTTGGTTATTTTTTGCTTTCGAAAAATTTGCAACCGTTAAAGCAAAACTTCAATTATTTATGCTAAAAATTTATAGATCTATACATACATACCACATATATAGTTTAAGCTGGCAACAATTCGTTGATCCGCTTCCTTGCAAAATCGGTAAAAGATAACTGCGAGATCATGGAGGATGAAACAGTGATGACGAGAAAAGAATATATATCTGAATTACACATTTCAATTTGATCTGTTTGGCGTTGAGGGATCAAAAGGCATTTTTAGCCCCTCATTATTAAAATTTATGTAAATGTTAATAATCATAATTGCAATATTCTTTATTTTCAAAAACCGATTTGAAATATTTAAAATATATGACCATTATTGCAAAATACGGTAGACTTTTGTATTCTTACTTAGGTACATTGGTACTAAGTATTTAGCAATAAACAAAAATAGTGCGATTACTCATAGTTTTGGTCAACCGACAGAAGACCATGTTTATTAAAAACAAAATAATAAAATACTACTATGAGTATGTGCACATGCAGACGATTTTCTCCAACTCAGCTGGTGCTGCCGACATACTAATACTACGGCACGATTTTCGAACTTTTATTTGCCTCAGACAAACATTTGTATTGCAGTAGTGAAATAGTGTGCTAATGCTTTATTAAAATTGTGCAAACTCTGTGCTATTGTTAAAACCTTTTTTGCTCAGTTTTCGTATTTCCATCACTCTCTCCTTTGCATTGTTGATTGGCGATGGAGAAAGGAACTAAAAGATCGTCTATGGTGTTGCTCTCGCACTGGCACTTTCAATGTCAATTTCCGATCATCATTTCGCAGTGAGAAATATATGTACATATATATATAATATCAATCTGTGTGGTGGTTCGACCACCAAAATATTGGATTAAATATGGAAACGTACATAGGCATATATAGTAATATCTATGTGTATGGCTGGTCACTTATCATGTGAAACATTACTTTACGATTAAAATGTTTTTCTGCTGCCCAGCTGCTGCCGTCATGAATTTGCAAGCCGTCAGAAGGTGTTTGTCCCAGGTGTTACCATTTAATTTTGCACCGTCCCCACTAATTGGCTTGATTACACCTACTTCAGCTGTATTGGGTCGTAATGGGTTCTCTGCTACTGTTTTGCATATGCATACTTAGGCGCTGTACTGAGTTACTCATACGCCCTGTGTTTCTTTGCTAAAGGCCAAAGTTTTCCTAATTACTTGCGAAATATATTTGTAAATATCCACATATACAGCAAAATATTTACAGTTATTTATACATATATTTCCACATTTATGTATGTATACACTTCAGATGTATATAAGCACATACCATATATAATTGTAAAAATAGCCATGCAGTGTAACATTAGAAGAAAATTAAAAGAAGAATAAACGTTAACTGCGGTTGCATCGAAGCTATTATACCCTTCACAGAACTTGATTCCGATTGTTCAGTTTTTTTGGCAGCTATATGCTATAGTGGTCCGATATCGACCGTTCATGTACATGTGCAAAATTTCAGATCGATAGTTTAAAAACTGACTAGATTTGGAAGCAGCGCGGCAAAATCAAATAAATTCGGTTAAGAAACTCCATAAAACAAAACTACTGTTTCTCAGTGTTACACATATATAAATTATTAGTGAAGCAAGGCTACAGCTGGTAAACTAAAAAAAAAAGACAATATTAAAAAGGAAAGCGCGGTACAAATGGGTGGTGAGGTCATATTCTAAGCATGACTTCTTATGCAGATCTAGACTTATTCCAAAAGAATACAATGATTTTTGTTTTGTTAATTTTCCTAAGTGGCTTCAGCGATATATCCATATAAACTGTCTATCTAACGGAGCGATAGTTGTTTAGTGGCTCGTAACCTGTCGCTCATTTATGTTGCGCCTGTATTTACTATGCAAATAATAATCAAAATACAAACTCGGGGCGCCAACAATTGCCAATCGCTCATGTGGAGTTCTCACTCTCAAACACTCATCAAATTTCGAAAATCTGCTTTCGACTGGGAAAGAGTATTTTAGAGCAGGCACTTAACATTTCTTCAGAGAACATTTTATTTCGAAAACGGCATCTTGGAATTTTCGAAAACGTTTCAACAATAAGAAAATAGCAACTACGCTAAAGCATTTGGCGGCATCTACGACAACGTCAACTTTGGCGTTTCAGCTACAAAAAAGTAGTGCAGCAATACCCTCGTGCATTATAGGTCGATGTAGACGAGCTTCGCTTGGTAGCAAATTGCCGAACTGTTTGTTGGTGGCCATTTTCGAATGTTGTGTTTTGAAAATTCGTATTGTTAGTGGTCATAGAAAGTCGGTTGTGACGGGATTAATTTTATTATTTGCTTGGTGTCGACTGGATTGTAATCGTTAAAAAAAATAAAAACAAATACAATAGAAAAAAAAAGGAATTTGGATGAATTCGATTTCTTGTTGCGATCAATTGCAATAACTTCGCATTTCCGTTCAGAAAATACACGCAAATTGTGAAATTGAAAAATATGTGTAATTAGAAAATAATAAAAATGGCGAATAAAAATTCGTTAGTGTTCAAAAATTTTGTGCGATCAGAAACTCATAACAATTATCAATGATCATAAAGTGATTAAAAATTAAAAAGTCTATGATATGTATGATTTAAAAACATGATACATTCAATGCGAACGGTATTGACGCAAAAGCCTTACAAAAACAGAACCACTAACTTGAAGAATAGCCACAGCTACAACAACAGCAGCGACATCTAACACAGCAGCCATTTGAAAATATTAGAAAAATTTGTCTGTCAGTGTCGCAATACACGTACGTACATATAAAGAGCAATTTTTGCCAGGAGCAAACAGCAAGAAGTGGACCCAACGACCAAACGAACATTGGCAATAGAAATTATTCTTAGACATGCAGCTATTTTTGGCGAAGCTAAATTTTTCTACAGCATAACATCAAAGATTTATTATTATTTACCCAACCCGACCGCCCAGTGGAAATAGGGAAATGAAACGAACCCCCGCGATCGCCTTCAATTGTTTCAGTGGTGCTCTTTGCAATTTGTCGTTGGTTTTCACAATATTTATATAATATTTATTTGAGTATCACTTGACATTTTTAATTAATCAATTATTAAAGTTTAGCTATATTATTCTATCCTTTGATGAAAGAACTTTGTTCTATTTCTTCACTTGCGCTGAACCAAAAATAGAACTTCCTCATTTTCCATAAGGTCATATTGTGCATCTGCGTGCCTCATAAGGGGAATGCTGTGAAATGAAAAAGCGATAAACACGCGAAAGTAGAATGTAAACAAACGGTTCGCAGAGGCGTGCGTATGTCGAGGTGAATAGTAACATTTCAAAACAAGATATTAAATTGAATGGCTCTTGTGTTTTTTCTGGAGGGTGTATTTGCTAGCAATTGGCACCCCACATAATTCTCTTCACATCAATTATTTGATAAAAATTAAATGCAGATTCATCCATTAATTGATGATGTTTTGACCTATGAGAAATTGCAAGCTATAATATTAATAATAATAACATCTCTGGCAGCAATCATAAGCAGTTAGATTCGAAGGAAGCGTCGCGTATTAGAAAACGGCAGTAGCAGCAATAAAATAATATAAACAGAAATAAATAATGACCACAACATTCTTGAATCGTTTTCATCGCGAAAAAAGTGAACGCCAGGGATTGGTGTCGGCAGTTAGCAATGTCAACACTAAATTAAAGAAAAAAGACAAAGAAAATGGCAACAGTGGCGGAAAAGCTGCTGATGACACAAATGACGTTGGGATCATATTGTCGCCGCCCACGCCTTCAGCTGCTGCTTTCGCCGCGTCAACGGACATGACGAACTCAGTGACAGCAAAATCAGACGCAACAACAACAACAGCATCGCAAAAGCAGCCAGCGCGTCAGCAGCGCCGCTACATACGCAGTGCCACAGCGGCGAGTGTAACGCAGCTCTTGTCGGAAAGCTATAGCAGTCTATTGCAGCGATTCCGTCGTCATCCGAGCGAGCGACCCGATAAAAGTCGAAATCAGCAGCAGCAGCAGCACCAGAAACGAAATCGGTAATATTCTGCGCGAAAATGCAGCGAAGAGTGCAATGCAATTAAAATAAATAAATAAATAAATCATGACAGAAAACGACAAAGGCCGCTCGCAAACGATCGCGTTCGGCCGTCTGATCGCCATCACTGGTGTCTGCGCCGTTAGTGGGTTGTCGTGAAGCGAGGATATCTGTCTCGTGCGGTTAGCATTTACGTGCAGAAGTATGTGTAACCGTATGCCGCCGCGTGATGCCGACCTTATTTCAGAAGTCAATACGGAAAACGCGTTATGTAAAGTCTGATCTCTTGAAATTT